AGAGAGAGAGAGAGAGAGACAGTCCTGTTGTGAATTATCTGCTGAGTACGGAGAAGGCCACATGGGGTGTTTACTGAAGTCTATTTTTCACGGCTTTGAAGAAAATGTAAATATTCAAAGTGTTTATTCATCACCGTTTGACTTATTCTGGGTCTAATTAGGACTAAAATGTAACGCTAAAGACATTTGAGGTCCATATTTCAAAGGAAATCCTATTTCAAGTGTCATTATCATAAAGTATGTAAATCTATCTACATTAACTTGAGTGATTTAAACCCTCTTCTTTGAGTTCATCCTGAAGCAAACACTTTGTAGGATCTATTATAAACATGAATAAAGCTGGAGACCTCAGGAAGTACTTAGGCTACTAATTTGTCACAGCGCAAAAACATTTTAGGGTGCATATCATATACTTCCAAGGGGGCGTTTGGTAGAATCTCCTAAAAAGCTGGTGTCATAAGGCAGGATTTATTAGAGGTTAAGTATCCCCCTGTTGCTTTTGCATTTTTTTCAGCAGTCCCTGTAAGACATTTGTCAAAGAAAAGGGGAGAGGGGCTAGAAGATCAAGCAAACCCACATTTAGTGTACTTCTTGTCATCGAAGACCTTCAGGAGCAAGTTTAGAGTAGTTTCCAAATGAGGTCCGGCTCTTGATTTATAGTCCGTTTTAAGCTTTTGATAAAATAAATATAGCAGGGGAGATTTTCACCACACTGTCATCACACACATACAGCCGGAGAGCCGATTTGGAGCACACGTCCCCTTCAGATCTTACATAAACACAACAACTCTGTGGCATAAATCAAACCTGCGGCGGCGCACATAGTACGAGCGCTGTAACGCAAAGGAATGGGGAAAATATTAGCATACATTTGAAGCCATGCATCTTGAGCTGTCCACAGAAGGAAAACAAACTTAAGTCCTTCCGTGCAATTTTCCAATCTCTGCGGTTTGATTTCCCACCACAGTAATAAAACAGTCTTAGAAAGCATCACATAAATAAAATGTTGAATCAAAACAATTTAGCTGCAGCTCTGTCATGCAAGAATGCATGCAATTTACATTTCTGTGACGTGCATGATAAAACAACCGGTTACTGTTGTCCTGATGTAAACATGTACCTAACAAAATACTTGAGGAAAACAGTTGGCTGGAACAAAGAAGATTTAACAACTGTTCTCAAAGTGCAAATGCTTGCCTGCGATCTAAATGGCGTGTAATGACGATTGACTTTCTCCAGCAGTTTCCCTGCGCTTATCACGTCACAGCAAACTCAGCTTAAACACTTCGGGTGAGGGGAGGAAACCAGCAAATATTTTAATTAATTCCTTCCAAGGCTTTCATCAACCGCTACTCCTAAATTCCTCCTTTCAGACCACCAGATGCTTTCATTCCCTCTCTCTCACTGTCCTGTTGTTGGCGCCATGGTCTAATAATAGTATATATGAACTATAACAACTAGGGAAACGTTGTAACGCAGGGTGAATAGTAACACCGTGAGAATAAGTTACAGGGGTTGAAATCATTATTATACACGACCACCTCCCTCCTGTGGTGATTGTGTAAAATGTTAAAAGGGATTTACAGGACAGAAAACTATTTGGAGGTAACAGTTTAGTAAAATAGTAAATGAGAGAACTGGTATCTTCTGAATCAGTAGGTTCTCATGTTTGACATATAGCAGCCACAGATTTCATCTACATGTTAGAAAATCCGGAAATATCATGCGTGACCAGATGGGGAGGGTTGTTCTTTCCATGCACCTCTACTGGACACACAAAGACAGCACAATATGGGACAGTGTATAAAGCTACGTTTTTT